TTGTAAAGGAATAGAACACTAACCATCTCCTGAGGATTAAAAAAGAAAACGAAAACTTTAAAACCCCTGAATTGAAAGGACCTCTGGGCCAGCTGCTTGGCTACTGCAGGCAGCAAAAGATTTGATGCTATCGAATCACAATCTACTGTGGCTGAGGGAGGCAGCAAGGGTAATGCCAAACTTGCAAGCTGATACCACCAGTTGCTGAAACATCCCTTTGCAGGTCTTTCATATCAACTCCTTCCTTCCCTCACCCATTGAGAAAATTATAGCTAAATTAAGTACTGTAGATCAGTTTTTTAAAAAAATGCTTATTACATATATTATATTAACTTTATCTTAACTGGCATGTTGACCCTGCAAGGAATTGTGTATTTTAATTATGTGTGCTTACAGTAATTGATTTTACACTCGGTAAGCAACATAGAAGCCACCTTGGTAATTAAAGAGTGTGTGTGTGTGTGTGTGTGTAAATAAATAAATAAATGTTTACAACAAAGTGTTGTGGATGTGGTACATAGTTCCCCTTCCCCAAAATGGAACATACTTGTGGAAAATTGTAAATAGACTGTGCCTAGTTGCAAGATGCATATTTGCTTAGTGACCAGTTTAACTGCTAGTAGCACTAGAAATTTGTAGGGTGCAGGCACAGAGGGGGCAAAATGCATTTCTGGGTAGGCAACCTATGTGCCACATTAGTTCCCAAAAGAGAAATAGATAAGTAAGAATGTGAGTGACCAGCCCAAATGAGTGGGAATCTGAACCCTGGTCTCTCAGGTCATAGTCTGACACCCTGTCCACTACAGAAAACAACAGATTTGTAGAACTGGTGGTGAAATCTATACTGTTACCCAACTTCTTGGTTAAAAAAACATCCAGGGGTACTTCAAGTTCAAATCTTTCATCATTGTGAGCAAACCAAAATGCTAATTACAACTTCAGAATAGCAACAGCGCATTGTGGGAGGAGCTTCATGACTCATTAACAATGGACATTCTGCTTATGTAATGTTGGAAGGAAGGGTCTGAACTCTTAACTGCTCCTGTATTTGAGGATTTGTTCATTTGGTTTCCCTCACCAATCAGTGTCAATCTCAGCAACAGTGGGAGGCCTTCCCCCCTTCTTGTGCTATCTGAACTTTACAATCATAAGCTGGTTGCAGCAACCTTTGCATTTTTCTTACCGTGGTGCATTTGAGCAGCCAGAGCTTAAATAAAGAATGTGAAGTAGGGAAACTTGTGTTTTGCTGAGCCAGCATTAAAGCCCTCCTATGTAATCAATCTACTTTTGTGTGCCTCAGTAACTTTTCTTTTCTCCAGCATTCCAAATTCATATTTCCCCCCCTCACTCTCTCTTTATTTGCTCGGTATCTTTTAGGCCTTAATAACAGCACGTTTTTAATCTTTCCACTATCCCATTTTGTGAGGGCCGTTTAAAAATCAAGTAAACCTATTGTTAACCTGTGGACTCCATTGGCCACCAGTTCTGAGGACTCTCTCATTCTGCCTGTAAGAGACTTTACAAAACTGATGACTCTCCCAGGTTTATTACACGGAGGGTTAGAGTCACTGAGTTAAGATCCAGATGGAGAAATATGAAGGTATCCATAGCAAGTCAGAGGAGAGGCGAGGAGGAGGAGGAAGAAAGCATTTAGCAGAAGCAGTGGCAAACTTTGAGCTTTAAATTTTCAGCAGTGCCCTGTGCAATGCCAAAATTGGCTGCCAACCTCTCACCTTCCACTGTTTGTCATTGTTGCAGTGTCCCCTACAATGCCTTCTTGACTCGGTGCCCAGTGCAGGTGAACCGGTCACTCTCCCCTAAATCCACCTCTGAACACAAGTAGGAGAAGAGAAAGGAAAATGAAAGTTCATGCTACCACAAAGGGCTGTATCAGCTCCACAGTGGGTGACACGTAACTTCGCTATGTGATATATCTTTCCAGTGCCTGCTGATATTGCACTAGAGTGGAATTGTGAGAACTAAAATAAAAATAATTATTAGGAAGTGGTTTCTCTCCCACTTTCTTTTCAAAAGCAAGGAACTTACACACACACACACACACACACACACACACACACACTTTGTGGTGTGGTAAGGCATTTTAGATTTAATGCAGAAAATAGTGCTTTTAGTCCATATTGTGTGGAACCATCATTTTAATTCAGTTTCCAACACATCATGGGACAGGAATTTATTTTCAGTGCTAAAAGGTCCAGTTATGGAGCCAGCCTAAGCCTTTGCTTTTCAAATTGCTGAGGTGGAAAGGTTTTTAGAACGAATGTAGCTTTTGCTCCATTTGCTAATTACACACATACACTTACATTGTATGCTTTATTATTGAAAATTGTGTTCTTACTACGCTGCATACCACTTTGAACAAGCATCAAAGAATGAGCTAGAAACTTAAACAATAAAGCAGAAAACATTCCCATCACACAGATGTCCAGGTTCACAGAGTCCTTTATAGCTGTCAGTAGAAGGTGTCCGCAGACCAGAGACCTCCCTAATGCCAACCATCAAAATTACTAACACAGTAACAACTTCAATTTAAGCTCCTATTTTTATTATAAGGTTAAGTGGGGAAACTGCAGCTTCGCTACGGTTAAGTACAACCATTTATTCAGTAGTTTGATCTATACACGATTCTCATACGCACAGGTGATCCTTTTACAAAGGACAAGTTCTTGAAATGATGTCACTCTTATACAATTAAACCGTGCATTTCACAACATGTCTCCCCCTCCCCTCCTTAAAATTTTAATGCTGTCTGTTGTATGCATAATATTATTTCGTTGTGTTAAGATGTCGGTGTTTCTTCTATTTAGATCTGTAAGCCACTCTAACTGGATGGAAAAGATGCAGAACACAAGTGATATATTATATAATTGATAAACAAAGCCTCTGGTAAATGCCACTTATATATATATATTGTTACTGACCAACCCACCTCTACTGAGTGGTGCACGAGATTGCAAGGGGTCTTGGCACTTAACTAGGGTCTGTGTTCCTTTGGGGGAACACAAGGCACAGTGGAGTATGCAGTGTCTTTGAAATATGATTTATTTACACATATCGATTTTCACAGTATTCACATCTCAGAGGGAGCCCGTCCTTCACAGCAGCCCAGCATTAGATTCTCCCCCTCCTTCCCCAACCTCTAAATTTCAAAAGGATACACACACCCCCGTGTGACATCATGGCTTCTGTAACACCCCCTTCCCAACTCTGCTATTTACCCCGTGCTTAGGCAGAATGTCAACAACTGGCCATTGTCCGGTAATTACACCATGGTGGCCCGCCTCTCCAGGCAATTTCCTGATTTAGCCTGCATTTTAAATCTAACGCCTTGCATCTTTCCTTCAATACTTCAAATACTATCTAAATTCTACCATTTATTCATTTCTAACATTCCCCAACTTTAGCAGTTATGGGTGCCCTTGCACTCCTAAACTCTGTTACCCTGGATCTGCAATAATATATTGCCAAGCTCCCACCGCACCTTTGGTGCCAAAATACTCCTTTCATTTCTATACCACTTCATATTTTAAAGAAACATCGCAAAATGGTTTATGACACATTGAAACATGAGATAAAACTTGATTTATATTGCTGCCCCATAGCAGGAGGAAGACAGTGTGGTGCAGTGGTTAGAGCAGGCTTCCTCAACCTCGGCCCTCCAGATGTTTTTGGCCTACAACTCCCATAATCCCTAGCTAGCAGGACCAGTGGTCAGGGATGATGGGAATTGTGGTTTCAAAACATCTGGAGGGCCGAGGTTGAGGAAGCCTGGTTTAGGGTCAGACTAGGACCTGGGAGATCAGGGTTTAATTACTGGACTAACACTTCAGCCAGCTGGCTGAATATGTCACCTTATTTAAAGCACTCCCTATACATATAATATTAGCACACCAGGAGGAAGGTTCTAGGGTAGCCTCCTGGCATGTTAATTTTTCTGTGTGCAGAGGGGCTTGCTTAAAACCATGGAACAAAGTATTCAAATATTAAAACTTCCCAACCTGCTCTCACAAATAGCATAGTCCTATCAAATTAGTTTGCTGGTCATGTGTTTCAGCAATACAGTTTTTTATGTAGACATGCCCTTAAGAGCAGATTTGGTAAATGCAGAGTGGGAAAAACCATTGCTGCTCCCAGAAGTAAGTTCCAGCCTGAGTTCAACAGAGCAATAAAGAAATTCCTGTATCGCCTGCCAATGAATTAGGTTAAAGTCTGTACTGAGCACAGTTAAGAGGCACCAGGAAACAAAAAATGGCTGTTAAGTTTTAAGAACGTAACAGAGTTCTCTGCTACCCAGCCAATGGTGCTGCAGTGAATGAGGCAGACACCCTCCCACCCTGGCTGTTCTTCCCCGAAAGGGTGGGCTTCTTTGTCCTCAGATCCCATCCCTGCAAATAGATCCAGCACTTCTGCTCTAATGCCAGCTCCACTGCCCAGTTTTGTGAAGCGAGACACTTAATCCCTCCACCACTGTAATAAAGAACCCATCAAATACAGCCTGGCACATTCAAAGCACTGCACAGAGTACGTATTTTATTTGCCTCTGCATTGCCATCTAGTGTACTACTGCGGAAAAGCACTGAAGATGTTTTTCAAGAACCAACAATCATTAAAAATATATATATTTCTGAGCTGTCAGGAGATTAGAAGTTTCTTTTCACTGATTTTCTCTTTGTAAGGAGTTGGGAATCTTCAGCCTTGCAGGTGTTGTTGGAGTGTTGGCTCCAGACAATGCAACAAAATACCTAATGTTATGTTCCGTTATTGAAGAACACCCAGTGGTGATTTGTGCAGCCTGAAAGCTTGAAATCACACACACACACACACACACACACACACAATACTTTGCCAGTGTCATAACAGCCATTTCTATGCAGGGTCAGAAAGCAAACCTCCCACTTGTATATAAAATCATAGAATTATAGAGCTGGAATGGACCCCAAAGATCACCTGGCCCAACTCCCTGCAATGCAGGAATATGCAGCTGTCCCACACAGGGATCAAACCTGCAACCTTGGTGTTATCAGAACCACGCTCTAACCAACTGAGCTCTCCAGATTCTTTAGCGTACACACCATGTTAAAACTAGAGAGATACTCTAGTACGTACTCTAGTACTTTATGAATGCATATAAATCCCCATCCAGGATTTCTCTCTACTGGTGGAGCACTTTCTCCTCCTACTATTACTTTAGACCCAAATTTATCATGTCATATATTATACATCTGCTCAGCAGGGAGTTGTGTGGGGAGAGACCACATTGCCTATGATAAACTGGACTATGTCTTTGCTAATTGAGAGAGCCCCTTCAGGCATTTGTTCACTGTTAGAAAGTCTAAAGTCTTTAGCAAAGCAAATCCGTGATTATTCCACAGACTACATGGAAGGTGCGAGCAATGATTACCTAAAGGAGGGATGGGGAACCTGCAGCCCTCCAGATGGTTTCTGGATTCCAGCTTCCATCATCCTCAGCCAGCATGGGCAATTGTCATAGATGATCGGAGCTGGAGTCCAGCAACATATGGAGATTGGACAGTCACCTTTCAGGGATGCTGTAGTTTGGGGTCTCCTTGCAATGCTATGCTTCTTTGCTGACATGTTTTTCTTATACAGTGGTACCTCAGGTTACAGACCTTCAGGTTACAGACGCTTCAGGTTACAGATTCCGCTAACCCAGAAATAGTACCTCAGGTTAAGAACTTTACCTCAGGATGAGAACAGAAATCGCGTGGCGGCAGTGCGGGAGGCCCCATTAGCTAAAGTGGTACCTCAGGTTAAGAACAGTTTCAGGTTAAGAACGGACCTCCAGAATGAATTAAGTTCTTAACCTGAGGTACCACTGTAGTTCCATCCTATATACCAGGTTTGCTAAAAGATGCAGGTGGGATGTGGGGCTAAATACATGAGCACACAGCTTCCTGGGGATGAACTCGTCATTCTTCCCTCTAATAGCATTGATTTCCTATTCATTCTCACTATTGAAGAAAAAGAGGGAACGGTAAATAAGAGAATAAATGCTTCTACATTGGCACACAGTGATGAGTGGTCCGATAAAACATGAATGAAAAGCAAAGAGATTCTATTTTTAGAAAAACAGTAGCCAGCATGTCAAAGTGACTGCACTTAACTTAGGAAGTTCAGATTCTCCTTTGCTTTGTCCCACAGTGCACTGTGGCCATCAGCTTGTGACACAAGACCCATAAGCAGCCAGCGAGTCTTTGCTCCTCTCTTCCAGGCCAGGAGTGGACATAGATCCATGCTGGAGACAGAATTCCAGGGAATCACTGATTTGGTGAACAGGCAGTGTCAACACTCATAGCAGCTTATTAATAATTTGTGTTGTTTTGGTGCTTGTTTTGCAGATCTAGAAACTAACGGAAATAAGCTTCCATGTTTTTTAAAAATTGATTAGGTTTTTCCCCCTCATACGGAGAAAGGTTTGAAAATGCTAGGTGCATATGCACACATGCACAAACAGTGCCACTTCACAACATTCAAGTTATTGGAATTACACAAACAGTTGTAGTCTGGCAACACAGACTCCCCAACCCTATTTTAAAAAGAAATTAGTTTCATGACTTGCCTGTCATCAAATATTAGTCACGATAGTTGAATTAAACCTTTCTGTACAGAAGCAATACCCCTATGTAGATCAAATGCTGGAAATCAACTACAGAGATTTTCCATTGTAGTAACTGCATCTAAGTTATACTGTATGATAAACAAAGAATGCCCAGAACCTTTGTGCCTTGTTTATGAGCTTCTAAAGACACCTGGCTGGCTTAAACTGCCCTAGAGTCATATTGCAAAAGGGTCAGAAGGCACAGTTTGGTCACCATACAATAAAGCTGATCAAGGCAAATGCTTGTAAGACAAGGTGAAGACAGCTACATTTTTTTTTGTTCATTTTGCCTCGCACATTTTCAAAATAATTTTTAGCACCCAGGAAGAAAGGGGTATTGGCAAGATAAACCTGTCATTGTATGTAATGCCAGAGCCCCCAAATAGCAGGAGAAAGAAAAATTCAAATACTGTACTTTTTCTTGGGGGAAATATTAACTTTCATGTCTCAGAAGGAAACTTCTAGTTTTAGAAGAGTCATGAAAAACTTAATAATGAGTTTTTTGAATGTACAGGGAGAGTCTTTGACAGACAGATATATGTTTTGAAGTCTAGCAGAATTTCCACCCCCCGCAGTACTAACTGTGAAGAAATTCTTAACAAACACTTCTTCATTCCACAATAAAACAAATAAAATCTTAAAAGGCTGCAGAAACCCAAGGCAAATTTCTATCTTTCTTTTTTTGCTTTATTGAACCCAGCCGAAAATCTATTTGGATAAGTGGTGCAGAAGCCAACTGTCTCTCTTTTTTAAATAAAGTAATTGCCTTTCCAACCTTGTTGCTAGTTACTTGTCATAAATTGTTTGTTCTCTGTGAAGACATCTTAATGGGATTTTTGAGTTGTGATAAATAAATAAAAAATGGTCCGACGAGGACTGAAGTATTTTTTGGCCTGCATAACAGCCAGAGCACTGTTATAGTCATGTTTTGCGAGTATTACCTCAGCAGTTCCCCAAGCTAGATTGTTGAGAAGTAGATGGACAATGCGGCTCAGTCTGTGTCTGATATAGGGACTGGCCCAAGACATTTTGGCACCTGAAGAGGACACCAAAATGGCATCCTCCCTCCCCACCAGAGATGATGGGGTAAGGGAAGATCTACATCAGGAACAAAGGGGGGAACAAAGATCAGCATGGGGAGCTGCTGCCTCACTGGACCATGGGGCCTGAGGCTGTCGTCTCACTTGCCTCATGGGTGGATTGGCCCTGAGACCAGCGTGGGAAACCTTTTTTCTCTTGAGGGCATTCACACCAGCAGTGGGAAGAACTAGAGGTAAAAGTGTTGGGGACTTAATAATTCAGAATAAAGTCTGTCTTGTTTCAGTCTTCAACATATCGACTTTGGGATTAGAATATCCCAGTCCTATGCATGACTACTCTGAAGTAAGCTCCAACAAATTGGACTTTTTCTTTTTCTTTAGTACAACTGACCAATACAGCTACTGTTCTGGAAAGCAAATAAAATTCCTTTCTGATTTAAGTGTCCTGCACACACACAAGTATTTCAACTTACATTGTTAATTTAATTTAGTTTAATTTATTAGATTTATACACCATCTCTCATCATAAGATCTCAGGGCGGTTCACAGAATAAAATACAGGATAAAAACAAGTAAATAATTAAAAACAAAACAACAAAACAGTAGCTTTTGGCTTGGCTGGTTAGTATATTTGGGTGTTTCTGGTGCTATTAAATCTGTGTTTTCTGTATTACTTAAATTTTGTTTTGAACAATTAACTCAAGACACCTTGGGAAATCAGCTAATAAATGCCTTTCATAATACTTCCTTGGTTATATTCAGTACAGAAGGCATCAATTTAAAAATATCCTACCACTGGGTGTGGAAGTAATACAAGCATGATTGAAGACTGATATATAAACATATATTGAAATCAAACATTTCCATACTCAGAAATCATGACGACAATGTTAAAATAATAATTGTTTCTATTTAACATTCAGGGAGCCAGGTGTTCAAATTCATTTCTTTACCGGCAGGCTTTCCTGCATACATTCTTATAACAGGTAGAGGAGAATGTAAGTTGGGTAGTGAATGTGCATGCATAACAACTGGCCACAGGCCACTAGGCAGAGCTGACCCCAGGAGGAGCATTTCCTTCTGAAATGAGTGGATGCAACAACCTTTTCTTTACCTGGAGAAGATCTGATGGACAACACTGAAGGGATGCAATGGTGGAGGAAAAAAAGTAACCTCCTTGTCACCAACTCTAGAGTAGGCTTTAAAACTTTATTTTCCCCATAAACATTCTAAAATGCATGTTACGAGTCAGTTCTGACCTATGAAACCAATAATCAAAGTGTCCAATAATCAGTACCACTTGAGAGGCTATGAAGCAGAAATGCTTTATCAACTCAGGAGGAAAAATCATCCGCTTCCAAAAGGGAAACACTAAGATGTTTGCTTCCACTTGTACAAAGGGCAAAGATATTGGACCATATAACCGTGACATTTTAGGTATCCCACCAAAAATCCATTTTAGATCATTTTTAGATTAGTTCACCATTCCATCTGAAGTTAACTCTAAACAGGAGCGAGATGAAAAATAAACTCTCTTATGCTGCTAAACTAGTTTGACTGGAAATCAAAAAATGCTGGTCCCAGATGAAGAAGTAGTTTTAGAGACCTGTGTTTTGTAAGTTTTAAAAAATAGAATTTAATGAACTGTTTCTCAAGACAGCTTTAAACCAATCCATAGTCCTCAAACCATTCCTAATCCCATCTCTAGCCAAGGTGCGAACACCTTTCCAAAAGCCTTCACTTAAGCTGGAACTGGTCCTACGTGGGTGATACCAACACGGATGTGCCTCTATAGCTAGTTTTATTGTGTTTCTTTCCCTTGCCTGCTTTGCATGAACCCTGATTGGAGCTCAATTAACTCTGACTGCCTCCGCTGTCAGTTTACTGGTAATCAGTGTCTGACCAATCAGATTAATTTATTTTCAACAGTGAATGTCTGCTATTAACCAAGTCCCTTGCATTTACTACCTGATGCCATTTGAGTTGGGTAGGGGACCCTCTATGCATCACACCATTTGAGTCCTTCTGCTTTGCAGCCACCATTTGAGTCCTACACAAGTTAAACTGCTATGTTAACCTACGTTTTCTGCAATTCATTAACTTGGCCCCTGCTTAATTACCTGTGTTTTGAGCCATAAAGATTACCTGAAACCTGCCTCATTGGTTAATAGACATGGCACCAATGTGGCCACATTGCCCCAAACAATTCAGTGCATCTTTCATGGCTGCAGATTTACCCATAAAAAAGGAAACATTTTGTAGTGGGGGATATATATATATATATATATATATATATATATATATATATGAATGAGACAATACTTTAATCAAATAACCAGATGGTGAACATCCTCACAGCATGAATAAAAAGCTGTCACGTTAAGTGATCTACGTCACAGGCACCTTCTATTACTACTACTTTTGATCCACAGGCTCCTGCAACAGTAAAAAGCATGATTGAAGTCAGAGTTTCTTTTGCTGTGGGAAAATAAGAGGTCTGAATTATTTAGCAGACAAGACTGAAAGAGGAGCAGTGCAAAAGGCCAGCAAATGAGATCAATTACAATATTAAGCTGCAACACAAGCTGTCAAGGATCCCTCGTCCCTGGGGCATGAATAAATCCGGTGGTCTCATAGTTCATCAGGAATAAAGCTGCCTATGGTGTTGCTCTCCCGTTCTCACACCTAAATACAGTGCTAGAAATAATCAAAAAGCGCAGGCAGCCATATTATAAAAAAGATGTATGTCTCTCCCACAGCTTGAACACTTAATTCTGATCAAATGGTATTTCCTAAAAATGAGGGGCTTCAACAACATGGCCTTTCTGGGCAAAGCCCTCTCTATGTACTCTTGTGTGAATGAACCTGGCATTCCCCTTGTTCCAAGAGGGCAAGTGTCTTGACTTGCCAGGCAGCGTGCCCTCCTTCATCCCCCCCCCCCCCATGCACTATGGAGGGGATTTCCTCCTGATCCCCTCCACAGCCAATTTTAGGGTTCCGGGGGGGGGGGGTGAAGTGAAGAGCCCTGTTGCACAAGCAGCAATATTTGCACAAAGCTTCCATTGACAAAATTCTACATTTGAATCTCCAGCTATGGAAATTATCGTCATAATCGTCATCATTAACCAGCCCTTCATCCTAAGGTCCCAGAGAAGGTCACAACATCAAAACACAATACTGAAAATAGTTTAAAACACCTTAAAATCACAGATTGTGAGGTTTTATACACATAATGTAACTGTTCCAACCAACCAAATCAAACTTTATTGGCATGTCTCGCATTAGGCACCTGCTTACATCCAAGCTGCTTGAACGCTCTGGGATTCTGGTTTGTTTGTTTTAAGCCTGACTAATTGTATGCAAAATTGTATGCAGAAATATACACGTGTTGTACATATAAAAAGAGTGTACACCATGTGGTACTACATTTCTGCAGAACTGTATAAATATCTGTTTAAGAAATCTGGTGTGTATATGCATCTAATATGGATAAATGTGCATATGATGTTATACTGATAAGAATATGTGCCTAATAAAGTGTATAAAATGCAGAATTCGAGCACACTTTCAATGGAATTAGTAAAATAAAATATGCTTCTGACCAAGATCAAGGAGTGAGATAAGCAGGCTGGATCCATCAGCCCAGGAGCACTGTAGACAGATCAGTGTCAAGGACACTGTCCTGAGCAACAGTTGAGGCTCCGACTCAAGAGGGACCAGTCCAATCCATCCATCGAACAGCAATGAAGGGCAATCCAGTAGCAAAGTCTGAGAAAGTATGGCCAGCCCTGAGCTCTTGAGCCTCGTGCCTCTGTGAGTATTATGAATTGACATGCTGCTCTTAAAAAAAAACAAAAACTTAATTGTGTTTGTTGCTTGTAATCACCGTAATTTGAATATATTTTCATGCGAGTAAAAACAACAGCTCTAAAGGAAAACAAAACAAAGCATAGATGATGCTTGCATGCATTATAACACGGCACCCTCAAATAAGAGAGATTCCTTCCTGTATGAGACAGAAAGGGTAACGCCTTTTAAGACGGTGCTTTCCATCTATGCCAGGGTTTTTCTGGATGGTTGGCAACAGTGAGAACGGCATACCTTGCCCAGGGTTTATCGCACAATGGGGGCTCTGTGACCCTCTAGATTTTGCTGGACTACTGCTCCCATCATCCCCTGACCACTGAGTCATGCTGGCTATAGCTAAAGGGACTTGGATTCCAACAACATATGGAGGGCCGCAGGTTCGCTACCCATGCTTTAGTGGGTTTTTGCCGATCCTTTAACCTTACAGCCAATTGCAAATGTAGATCGGTATAGCTAAGCATCGGAAAAGACGTCAGCATGAGGGAAAAGTGTAGGTTTTATCACCTAAATTTCACCTTGAAGTGTTTAACTTTTCGAAACAATAAAAGTACAGATGGAGCTGCTCTTTTTGTACAGCACAGCATAAGGCCAGTGCTCTGGGAAGAAGAAAGGATAACTTGCACTCAATACAGATCAATATTCAACTGAACAATAAAAAGGGGGGAAACTGTAAAGGAGGGGGAGAGTGTGACATTTTACAGCATCAAATAAGTTAGCTGTAAAACAGTGGATATCAGTGGAAGAGCGATGTTGCAACCCCCTACTCAAACTAGAAAGGTCACAGAATAGCTGTAGAGAATATTCAATGGGAACCTTGATTAATTATACTAATTAGGCATACTGAAAATCCTAATTTAATATAAATATAAATAAACCGAGCCATAAAGCACTCTCTTTTTCAATTCTAAACTACTTTGCTTAGGGAATGTGAAAGCCCTATTGTTTCTAAACTGTGATTAAAAGCCTCGCAGGAATGAGGGAACTGATAAACCCTTGGACAGAGAGGAAAAAGTGGAATATCCTTGTGGAAGGTTTCCCAATCACAAATTCTAGAGATTAGCTGCTTTAGCTTTTCTGGAATTCTTAAGATCGAATGACAATGCTATTCATTTTATCTGTGCCCTAATTCAGCACTGTTTTTAAAATAATAAAAACACAATATGAAGAGATTCCCACACAGCATCGGTGGGGGGGGGAGTGGAAATGTAAGAAAAGTACAAACAGTAACATCCTGACACACACCAAAAGCTGTAATCCCCCCCCCCCACATATACACCTGGATTCAGTGGGGCTCACTTGAGGGTAGGCACACATATGTAAGAATTGCAGGAAGGAGCGCTGGTGCAGCCAAACCCTGGGAATGACTGATGGACCACATCATAATTACCCTTTCATGTCTGGTAGATTTTCTTGTGAATCATCCAATATTGTTCATAGACAGACGAAGGAATACAGCTTAGGGAGTCATTCATCTGACAGATTTACGGGACATTCTCCTCTCTGGTGTGTAAGTGGAAAGCCAGACCTGTTTTCTGCTTCTCTGTTCATTTTAAGTTAAAACTGTTGTAATTCTCATTCACAAAGGAATAATAGCTTCTCATGCTTTGCTTAAAATGCATCCGTGCAAGGGAGCGGGTGAAGGAAGCAGCACAGCTACCAATATCATAGCACAGGAAGGCTCCATTATCACCCTCAATGCACACCACTTTGCACTAGCCCATGTACAAGAGATTTTCATTGATTTGTCACTGAATACTCCCAGGAGCCCAATGAACGCACAGATATTGTAACCATATGTTTCAGGCTTGCCCTTGGTTGGATAGCAAGTGACATTTTTCCTGTGCAAGCTTTGGAATACAGACACACACAGAGAGAGAGAGAGAGACTGTATATGTCTCAAAGCCATAAATTGATTTAAAGTAATTGACTGAGATGGTCTCTGTCGTTAAGGAAAGGTGTGCTCTGCATATGTAGTCAGCCATAAACTAAAGACATGTAAACACCTTTTTTTTTTTTAACACTGCAATGGTAATATGCTATGAAATAGTGACTCTGTTATTATGACAAAGGAACAGAAGCAATGTATGTAAAGTAATTCTCTTTGAAACCATTTTACTTTGCTAATGATCCTGCATTTTCTAAAACCCAGAAAAAGGCAGAGATTTGCAGATCATGGGCAAGTATCTGAATTTATTCTGTTACAGTCTGAAAGGCTGATCTCTTTTTCCTGTTGCATCAAATGTCATATCAAAAACTTGGATAAGCAGAGCAAAGCCACTGGAATTTCTTAACTCACTGAAATACATTGCCGTTTCTCTTTACTCTTTATAGTTTTTTTGATGCAAACAGTATCAAGTTTCTTTTCCTAAGACTGTACCAATTCAGATGGGAGGCGAGGCTTGTGTTTATTGCTCACCAAGGTAGTAAATCTGTATGTGGACTGTACTTTAGACTGCAAATTAGACCACTTCTCCAAAGCATTCATTTTCTGTATATATGTATGTTTTTGTGAGGAAGCATTTCAGCGTATGAGCTTCCATCTGCGGTTTGAAGTGATAAAGCAACCTGATGTCACTGTCCAAATAGAAACGGTTATCCAAATCTTTCACTAGTCCAATGTGGCATCTCTGGCTGCAAGATCATGCTAGTGCACATCACCCTCTCCCAGAAAATAAACATAGATGCGTAAGAGCTAGCTCTGAGGACCTTCTAGCATTACCCTCACTGCAAGAAGTGAGGTTATAGGGAACCTGGCAGAGGGCCTCCTTGGTAGTGCTACCCACCCTGTAGAATGCCCTCCTATCAGATGTCAAGGAGATAAATAACTATACAACCTTTAGAAGACATCTGAAGGCAGCCCTGTATCAGGTAGTTTTTAAATGTGCAATGTTTTATTATGTTTTTATATGTGCTGGAAGCCACCCAGAGTAGCTGGGGCAACCCAGTCAGATGAGCGGGGTACAAATATTTGTTGTTGTTGTGCTGCCTTATACCGAGTTAAACCATTAGTTATCTAGTTCAGTATTGACTGGCAGCAATACCCAACATCTTGTGAATGCAAAGCAGATGTTCTGCCAATGAGCTATGACCCTTCCCTAGATATGCCCCCAAAAATGTTAATGTTGCCATAGACCAAAAAAATGTAATATGGCATGCCTGCTGGTGGTGAGGCAAAACACTAGCAGATTCAACATAAACCAAGCACGAACTTGTACATGCCACAATCGACTGGGGTCCTCAGCATTTTGTGTATTACTGAACACCTTGCCTAGAGCAAGTGACCCAGATTCTAAATTGTACATCCTCTCTAGGCAGGATAGGAAATGATTCTGTTCAAGATAGGGCATTTAATTCTATGCAAGGACTTTAAAATAAATAAGTAATAACACTCTCAATGTAAGACTGAAAAAGGTGACTTTTTTTTGCCTCCATCTCCTCCAGCTGAGAATCTGTTTTGGAACGAAAGAAGATGCTGTCAAAGGAGATCACTGATGCTCACACAAAAGTTTGCCAGTGTGCACAGGAATTGCTATCCCGCAGAGTCAAAATTGCATTGTTCTGGAAAATATAGGGCAGCAATATTAAAGCAGCTCACCTGGAAACAGCATATCTGGATGTAGCCTGGATACTAGCTAGAGAGTACTTCAACCTTCCTCTAAGAGGGTCACATGAACCATTTAAGGTGGTGATAAGTGCACTGATCAAATGTCATTTAGAGATTTCTCCGTTCCCACCTGTGATATGGTGGCAACTTATCACTTCACAATCACGTTTTACCATGCCATCCACCAGCCCATATTCCAGATACTTCTTTTGGCAATGCAAGTCAAAGCCTTAAGTGTTGTTTTTTTTAAACAAAACAAAACAAAACAAAACAAAACAAAACAAAACAAAAACCACACAGGCAGAGAAAGCCATTAGCCGTAATAGTTCTCATCACCTAAAAAGAGCTAGATAGCTAAGATCTGAGAGCTGCATTTCAAAACAAGCATACCAAGGGCCTATCTATTTGTTTATTAGACTAGAGACTGTCCCCCACCCGCCTGCTCTGCTTGCCAGCCCTGCCAACGCTCCTTCACTTATACCTCTGTTAACACATTTTATGTCCCAAGCCCTTTTCCTCACAGTTCACCACCACAACAACCACCTTATTTTAAAGGGAGGAGGAGGATGGGCCTGTCAGGCGCTCGTCCTACACCCGAGTAGGACTGAAAGTGTAATAGTGGCCTAGTGTCAAGGCTCTGCTTACCCACAGGACAACTAAAAGATAAATGGCCCCAAACTATCTTTTTTCACCACAACAATTGCTAAGAGGGCACATTTCTGGAACTCTGCTAAAATCCCTAGGCTTGTAAGTTTTCTGACAGAGAATTTCCAACCCAGCCAAGGCAGCAGGTGGTGGCAGGCGGAGGCCTCCTGAGTATCCAACAAAGAGTTGCATACAGTACTCGGGGATAATATACCATTGGTTCAATCCATTATGGACAGTGCCACCAAGAAACCTTGAATGGTTCATTATTAAGGTAGCAAATAATATACAACAAAACAGGAAAGACTCTGCATTGTTTTACATGGGATTTGATGGGTGAAACAAACCGCAAAAAGAGTATGGGAATAGTGTTCCTTCTCTCAAGACAGTGGTTCCCAGAAGTATTCTGAGGTAAAATGACACATTTATCTTAGTTTGGGGCTCACCCACCGACATCTGGCACCATTTTTGGTGCCTCACTGCCCCTGTACTACTTCCTGCCAACCTAGCAGTTCAAAAGAACGCCAGTGCAAGTAGATAAAATAGGTACCGCTGGGGCAGGAAGGTAAACGGCGTTTTCGCGCACTCTGGTTTCCGCCACTGTGTACCGTAGCGGTTTAATCATGCTGGCCACATGCCCCAAAAAGCTGTCTGCAGACAAACGCCAGCTCCCTCGGCCTGAAAGTGGTGATGAGCGCCACACCCCATAGTCGCCTTTGACTGGACTTAACCGTCCAGGGGTCCTTTACCTTTTTTTACTTTACTACTTCTTAAGCTTGCAGCTCCCAGTGGCACTAATGCACACCCAATTGCATACGTACATGCATGCTCGAGGTTGATCCTGTGGAAGATGGATTTGAGGATTAAATTTGTAGATTTAGCTCTAAACCTCCTACCCCACATTGTGTGGGAGAGATACAAAAGTAATCTGACTGTGAAGCCTTTTTAGCAGAGTAAAGCGATTACAAGTTTTGCAGCTTATTAAAGGTAAGGAATTAGGCAATTGCAACCTTCTACCCCTTTCATTTGTGGCCCGCTGACCTCCCCCCTCTTTACCCCCAGTGCAGAGAGCAAACTACACGTTTTTAGTAAAATACGAAGGGGGGGGGAGTTTGCTTACATTTCGAGGCAGGAAGCAAATATAGCAAGGTAGCGTGCATAAAAATACTTGTATGTTACAGTAAAATAAAAGTTGGTAGTCTTAGCTAACATGGCTGAAGACCAGGGTGAAGAGTGCCTTCCTCACACGCAGAAGGACTTATAAAGTTTTGTTGTCCTTGTTACACAGTTCCTGACTAGAGGTAGCAAAGGAAGTGACTTCACAGAGTCCTCTCTAGGAAGTTCAAGAACTCTCTGTGTACTAGTCATGTGCTTAGCTAAGCAAAACATGTGTTTGTGATTTTGGCTGCAAACCTCACAGATCTAAGTATCAGAATGTATCTGTAGTGGGACCTGTGCTTTTAAAGTTCTTCCTAAACGATCTGGAAATAGGGGTGAGCAGTGACTTTGCCAAATTTGTTGATGACATCAAATTGCTGAAGGTGGTAAAAATATAAGGGGCTTGTGAGGAGCTATAAAAGGAGCTTACCCTAAAACTGGTAGGGTTGCCATATTTCAAAAGGTAAGATTCCTGACACCCCCAGAGAGTGAGCTTTTTGAATTTTTTTTAGGAAACTGCCAAAATTGTTGAGCTTTTTTGGGAGGAAAACCCAAAATAGTGATTTTAAGCTATTGGAGCTGTTTCTGCCACATTGACATACATCCAGCTTTCCCCCAAAACCAGGACATGTCAGGAATTTTTGTAACGTATGGAAAGCCTGAAACTGGAAAATGTAATTTAATGATGTAAAGAAGTGTAAAGTGAGGCACTTGCAGCAAAAATATTAATAACATATGTGCCAATAGGATTTGAAATGGCAGGAAAGGAATCTGGTGGATGTTGGCGCAGTGTTTGGTAGCTGAAAAAAGAATGAATCCCATGTTAGAGATAATTAGGAGAGGGATTGAAAATAAAACTGCCAGAACCACCATTCTGTTATACAAATAAATGGTGCAGCCACACTTGGATACTGTGTAGAGTTTCTGGTTGCTGCACCTCCAGAAAGGATACAGTGGTATCTCGGGTTACATACGCTTCAGGTTACAGACTCCGCTAACCCAGAAATAGTGCTTCAGGTTAAGAACTTTGCTTCAGGATGAGAACAGAAATTGTGCTCTGGCAGCACAGCAGCAGCGGGAGGCCCCATTAGCTAAAGTGGTGCTTCAGGTTAAGAACAGTTTCAGGTTAAGTAGGCACCTCCGGAACTAATTAAGTACTTAACCAGAGATACCACTGTACTACTGAGCTGCAAATGGTGCAGAAAAAAGGCAACCGAAATGATAAAGGGGTTGCAACTCCCCTATGGGGAAAGGTTGCAACATTTGGGACTTTTCATTTCAGGGGGCGGGGAAAAACAATTTACTGTTTCTTTTCCCTTTGACTTCATTGTTAAAGTTTCTCTCTCTCTCTGCAACGTAGAGAACATGAGAAGGAATAATTAAAATGAGTGCCCGTGTGTGTGCAGAGTTGCCTTCCTTGACAATGGACACCTTCCACGCAGACCTGAGTCCTCCCACTACCTCTCATTTTGGCAATTAACATGGATTTTACGCACCCGGATGACAAGTTTACAGGATATGTTTAGCATACAATTTTAAAGAAAACAAGGCTCCTGCAAAAAAGCAAATCACAGCTGAGAAACATTTCCTTGCTCAGCTTTTCCTCTGCGTCCAAATTTAAGATTTCTATTTCACTTCCCATTATATAGCATCCAGTATTGCTGAATACAAAACAAAAGGGATAGGAACACATACATACACCAAAAGAAAAAAAGGGAGTGGGAGCTTGCATATAGCAATCTTGAAGGCCAACATCTGACCACCACTTATCAAAGCATCAACCCAATGGGGCTTAATGATAGCAATACAGAAATATTACAGAGAGCAGAGGCCAATTGCTTCACTTTCATTCTGGAACAATTTGCAAATATTAGACATTGCATTTCACTTGCACTTGAAGCTTTCACATCTTCAATAAATAAAGAACATCGCAGCTAAGAAATCCCCCCTGCCTTTTCCCCCTTTTGTAAAACACTGTAATTTCGACGTAAGGAAAAGAATTGTGTGGCCATTTGGAAGCGGGCCATTGTATAAAGCCGTTAGCTTTCCCTGCAGCCCATCAAATTGCATGCTGCCCTAGAAAAAGTGTTTAACATTGAGCCAGTCCCATATTATCTCCTGCTTTCAAAGGCAGATGCTGAACTGGAATCATTTGTCAAACATTAAGAGACTCAGTTAAACTATCAGACGTCAAGGGCTTCCTTACAATGTCAGCGCAATATGTTCCTTTTTTAAACACACGCAGGCTTTGCAATAAAGTTAAGGTGTTCATTGTGTATGCACTGGAGTGTCATGACCCATCTATGACATTTGTAAAAAGATTTGTTTGCATTTGAAAGCGGTGGGGGGGAGGGAGGGCTGGCCATAAGGAATAATTGCTCTTCAGAGAGAACAGCCCACTGAACTTCAGAAGGGCAGCACCTGATATCCTTCAGCTTGGTCGATTTTTCTGTCTTACATGCATACCAACATCTTGCGGGATTCCTAGAACAGGTGGTTCATCATGGGCTCTGGGAATTAAACTGTTCGGTGGGAGGCAGATGTGTTAATGAAGCACAACTGAGTATAATGCAAAAGACCTCAGAGGTGCATCCCCTTGGGCCAACGTTGGATGCATCCGTCTAACATTTTGACCTAGTAATATGGCGTAGACATGGCCCCAAGAACATTAGAGCCCTTCTGGATCACACCAAAGTCCAGCATGCTGTTCTCATAGTGGTAAGCCACAAGCTCACAAGCAGGACCTGAAAATGCAACACTGCTCTCCTCACTTGTGATACTCAGCAGCTGGTATCCTGAGACATACTGCTCCCAACAGTGGAGGTAGAAGATTTTCATTAAATGCACAACATGGTTCTGTTGCTGAAGGTAAGAAGGTCTGACTCTGTAAAGCTTTCTGGGTGGGAATCACATGAAAGTTCTCTGAAGTTGAAAGCATAGACTTGGATCCAAAAGTGTTTTGCACGAGCAGAAAGGCTGTTCTTCTCGTGCAGGCAACCATATCACATTCTTCCAGTTTCCCCATCTCATCTCAAAGGGTCCTTTGGTCCTCAGCAGTGGCTTTTGGAGGACACAGGAGACTGTAGTCATGGGGAGGAATTGAGTGGACTCCACCTCCACCGCAAGTGGAGTTAATAATAATTTTATATATATATATATATACACACACACACACACACACACACACACACACACACAGTGGTACCTCGGGTTACATACGCTTCAGGTTACAGACTCCGCTAACCCAGAAATAGTGCTTCAGGTTAAGAACTTTGCTTCAGGATGAGAACAGAAATTGTGCTCTGGCAGCGTGGCAGCAGCAAGAGGTCCCATTAGCTAAAGTGGTGCTTCAGGTTAAGAACAGTTTCAGGTTAAATACGGACCTCCGGAACGAATTAAGTACTTAACCTGAGGTACCACTGTATATATATATATATATAGTCATCCAGTTCTGTAGGTTTTTGTCTACTTGAACAGAGAAGCTTCAGCTGTGAAGGATACATATTGGCTACAGGGAGCCAAGCCAACACGCATAGGCATCAGTGTGCACCCCACCCCCATTGTCCCCAAAATGTTTGCATAAATATCCTACAAAATTGACAATTAATGAGACTCTTTGATCTTTCGGCTCAGTTCCTGTTTGCACTGGTTCAGCCTCACCTATATTGAATATGCCCCTTAAAACATGCACACATTTCATTGGATGCCAGGATTGGGCAACCACCCTCCCTTCAATTCTGAGCCGAGGAGAGGAGCAAAGAGCTGCCCTCTTTGAGCAAACACGGCAGTGGCTGATGTAGATGCCTTTTTGTGTTACACCACACCCCCTGAAGCAGCCATTTTGAGAGTGGTGCCCACAGCACTCCAATTCCAATGGTGCCCTGAACCCAAAAAGATTAGTATCTCCTAGAGTGTCTGTGTGATCATCAACACTCATTTTCTCCTTCCCTCCCACCCCCACCAATTTTGCATTTTGTGTGTGTGCATTAGGGGTGGGGATAGGGAAAGGCAAAGCATAAATAGGCACATAAACAAATGTATGTTGCTTTAAGAATGTAGGCTTTGTTTCACAAGGTAGAAAGCCCGCCAAATGCAGAAAGGGAGAAGCTGCACAGCATATTGGGAGCCTGTTGAATACAAGCCGCAAAGCTCAACTTCTCTTAGGGATGACAAACTGGCTGGGAATACTTTTAACATTTCACCCTCTGAGGAGGAGCTCAGGGTGAAGAGCGTAGAAGCATAACATATATTTTACTGTACTAATGTCATTGGCAGTTTGGGATGGGGGGGATGAGCGGAGTGGAGCTCATTCAGAAAGGTTCGAGCAAGGTTGTGAGAACGATGGGCAAACTGATGTGCACAGGGATTCCAAGACAGACACAGAATCCAGAAGGGAGAGGGCAGAGCAAGTCACTGGACAGCCAAGGCAACACAACAATTGACCCAAAAGCAAAGAGCAGGCAAGGAATCCCTGTTCGTCCTCCCAGCAGCCTCTTCCATGTGCATTAATGTTCCACTGAGACCAAAACAAAAAACCACCACCAAATGATGACTGTGCACATTACTGTGTGGGGAATTGCAGGCATTAGAGAAGCATTCCAAATGCAGTAATTTCCCCTGTGTCATACCACCGTAATCAATGAACATGCTCAAGAAAACACAGATTCTAACTTTTTCAGGTTTTAAGTGCAGTTTTCAAGCGTTTCTTCTTCTTTTCCCCCTGAGTATTAACTGAAACTAAAAACAAAAACAAAAATATGGCTCAAAGCTGGTTCCAGATTTCTTCATTTTGGTACCTAATAAAATGTGGTCAGTAGGGATGGGGGGGGGGGGATGTTCATTCATCTTATTCAAGAGGAAAAGCTGCTTCTTGCAGCATGCAGGCCAGCAGGAATTAAACACACTTTCTTCAGTCAGAGGGAGCCTGTGCTGTACTCACGTTTCTAATTACAGCGGCTGGTTTACATCTATAATACAGTACAGGAATTCGCCCCCTTGGTGGCCAATTTAAGATGACGCATTCCACTAAACTGCGGCTTGGCGTCTCAAACCAGTTGACAGGCAGCTGGCTGCTCAAAATTGCTGACCCCAAGCTACTTTTCTCCCCAATCAATAAAAGACAAAGGGACCAATATC